TTGTACCAGTCATTTTGAACACTTCTTTATTTTCTGGCATATGATGTTCTAGACTAATCTTACACTCATTTTCTCCCAGCCCTGAAGTCGGTGATATCTAAAAAAATCTGGGTTCCTTTTAGTATCTGGACACTTTGATATGCCACGTGGTACGTCTGCTTCTTGGCTGTTTCAGCTGAAAACTGAGCTGGGGAATATACATATATGCATACAGATATACATATACACATACACACACATATACATGTACACATACACAAACATATTTTAGAAATGATGTGTTCATATCAGACCTCCAATTCCAGGCTGCCCCACAGGAATCTTTCTTTACTTTCTTCATTCTATTCTGTCTTTGCTTTTTGCTGAGATTTCAACAACAATCAACACATTTGCCAAGACCTATAAAATATCCTACAGTAGTTCAGAATTGCTTTGGTCATACCTCTGTAACAACCACAAAACAAACACTACAGAAGTCTTAAGGTTTGTCTCCAGTTCTTTTCCACTCTATTCTAAATTGTCCAACACTCAACGTATATATGATCATAAGTTACTTCAATGGGTTCTTTTTCCTTTCATGTGATTATGGCATATATTTGAAATACAAAGTTTTATTTTTGATTATGGCATACATTTGAAATACAGTCTGCTTTATTTTTAAGTTTATTTTCCCTGTCCTATCTTTGATTTTGTTATATATCTTGTGAATGTGTAGAATGTGAACATTCACCTAAAATACCTTCAATAGTGTTTTTAGAGGGGTGTGACTCTCTCCTTTATCTCACCAACTCACAGTGGAGATAACCTAGCTCACTGTTGGGTAATTTATCCTTCTTTTGTAAACATAAACAGATTTGTAGTTTCTCTTGTTTACAAAAGATAGCATTCTAGCTAGCTAGCTATCTTTATCTATCTACATTCCTTCTACCTTGCTTTCTTAACTTGATAGTAAGTCCTGGAAATCATTGCATATTACTTAGTAGATACTGTTCTTATTCTTTTGTGCAGTGACACTTCTCTATTCTATGTATATATCATAGTGTATTCAGTCAATTACCTAGGTTGAGAGATTAAAGTAGGTCACAATATTTTCTATTTACAAATGATACTGCAATAACTACCATGCATATATACTATAATATTATTGGTAGACAGATTATTAGAAGTGAGATTGTCAGGCTGATGGGTAAACACACACATAGATTTGTTAGAAATGCCAAATATCTTAGGGGTGCACCATTTTGCATTCCCACTAGCAATGTTTCAGAATGTTTTAAAACAGCCTTGCCAGAAATATACTGTCAAGCGTTTGAATTTTTGTTAATCTGATGGGTCAGAAATTACATTAGCATAGTTATTTTTTAAAGAATTTGAATGAGGAAGAATTCACATATAATAAAATTGACAGTTATACACTTTGAAAACTTTGCTTAACCTATGATTACAAAAATTTCTTCTAAAAATTAATAGTTTTAGTTATTATGTTTAGAACTATAATCTATTCAGTTAGTTTTTGAGAATGATATGAATTAGGGATTGAGATTATTTTTTTGTCACACAAGTATTTCTTATTCTAGCACCATGTGTTGTAGCAAACTTCTTTTCCCCACCGAATTGTCTGTGAACCATTTCCAAATATCAAGTGACTGCAAATGAGTCAATTCCCCTAATGCTGGATTGTTCCACACTAAAGTTCTAAAATAGGAAATTTAGTTCATCATTTAGCTCCTCCAAGATGAACAGTGTGTCTGACTGGCCTCCCTAGTTCCTTTAGCAGCTGCTTATTGTAGAATGTGCTGCTGGTTTTAGAGCTGATTTGTATCATCCATCAGTTCCTTACATATCATTACTAGAAGCTTGAAGACCTAACTCACTGTAGATTTAACTGGTATTTCTCTCTCTCTCTCTCTTTTTTTTGAGGGGGTGAATTTTCCATTCCCATTTTAGGACCATTTTCTAAGCAATTTTTCGGTTCACTGCAACTGTTAAAAGTTCTGATTATTATTTGTATCTATGTATGAATTTGGGTTCTGTACATTAATTTTATATAGTGCTAGCTTGGGAATTAAGTTGGTTGTATCACTGACTATCCAAGGTTTTCTGGGTGACTTATGTCGTTTGCATGAGAAAGTCTTATTTTTTTCTTCATTTCATATGTCCCAAGCTGCTTGCTTGTCTATTCACATTTTGTTTGTGTGTGCTATTTTCCTCAGTCTTAGGCATCAAATGTTATACTTGCTTCAAGAAAAGAGTTTAAAATTTTTCTCTCTTTTTTTTTTTAATATTTTGAAGTCTTTTATGTAACTTTGGATTTGATTGCCAAAGTATGGTAAAATTTCCCTATGAAACTATCTGGTCTGGTCCTTTTCTGTAGGATAGTTTAATAACTTCACTTCTCTGTTGAACTGGGGTCAGTTTGGTTAGGCAACATTTTGCTAAGGAAATATCTTCTTTTAATAGATGTGTTACTCATGTTAACTAAGATGATTTATGTTTGGCCTCAATTCCATCGAATTGTTTTTTTTTTTTTAATGATTGTGCACATTCTATTTATTGTGTTTATTTTGTGTGCCCTTTTGCCTAAAATTTTGTTTTCTTATTTAAGGTCTGTATTTTTATCCTGCCTTTGCGTTTTTACTTTTCATATAGAGTCTGAAATCCCCTCCATTTTTATCTAGTCTTTTCACTATCTGATCATTGACAACTGTCCTTATAGAAGAGAATGATTATTTTCCCTTTATCCTCTTATTTTTTAAATGATATTCATCTACTACTACCTTTCACTACCTTATCAAAACAGAATGTTCATTATCTAATTATCTATTTTCCCTTTTTTTCTCTTATCCTCCTAATTTTTTTTAAATGTATGTTTTGATTTTTTTTTCTTTTTTTGGGTAGGCATATATTATTTCTACATTCTCTTACTCCTAAACTCACTCTCATTTTATGCTCAGCTATACAATAATATATATGAAATGCTCATTGTTTGAAACTTCTGCCAAATTATTCCAGTCATGAAACACATCCTTTCTTAGATTCCTTAGGAATACCACCTGTAAGCACTATTCCCTAAATTCTGGCATATTCCAAGCAGCTTTTCTATGGCCTTCATATTTGAAAGTTAGATAGGTAGTATACAATATGCCTAATTTACATTTTCTGTTGATTTCTTGAAAATGCTTCTCTAGTATTACTGTACTTTGCATGCTGTGTGGGAAGGCTAATGAAGGGCTAATTCTACTTTCTTATAAACTGCAAGATCTTTTAATTTAGAAGTTCTATACATTCTTTTCTCTATTTTTAAAGTTTAATAGTTTCATTTGGATATGCCCTAGAGTTGACCTTGACAAGTCAAACTACTCTACTTCCCAATTATAGATTCTGGTCTTTTATTGTAACTGAACGTTTTTCTTGGATTACAGTTTAAAATGTTAAGTGCTATTCAGTTTGCATTTAATTCTTCAATAACCTCTTACTTCTTGGCTTATTTTATTTTTCTGATTTTCTTCAGTGGTTCCTCACTTGAGTAATTTCTTGCTGGGTAGCTTGTTCATTTTTGAAATAATGTTGTCTTTTACTTCTATTTCTTTCCCAAACGTTATGAACTCTGATTTCATTTCTTCCTGATTTTTTTTTTTTTTTTGGTCAATTTCTGTCTAAGTTTTAAAATTTCTCAGTGAGATTTGCTTTTCTTAGTAACAAAATGCTTACTTGTGAATATTTGAGTTTGGAGTGTTATGTCACAGTTTACTTCAGCTTGCAGTTGAATTGTTTTGGAAAGTTTTCATAAAGAGGAAAGTGTTAATAATTCATACTGGCTGATTTTTATTGTTGTTTTGTAATGATGAGAACAGATTCTCCCCCCCTACACTTTTTTCTTTCTGAGAAAGAGTTCTTAGTTCAACAGCACCCTCTTCTGTGCAATGTCTTTTATGGATCAGGTTGCTGATGGTCAAGGGGCACAGTAAATGGAGAGAATTGATGTTTCTTATTTATCTTTCATTTCTGCAAGATCCTTTATTTCCCTCACTTATTTCCTTTTTCTCTTCTTACCCTGTCTCCAAAGAATATCACTTCTATATTTGGTTCTCCCCAGAAGCAATGATTCTATAAGGTCACCACATGTGCTGTGCATACTTTCAAGTGCTGAGAACAACCGAATCCTGATCTGTAGCATTAACTGTTGCATTTCTCTTTCTGGGGTGATTTTATTTGTTATCTAATTACTCTGTTTCTTCTTAGTCGTTTAAGTCACACTTCCTATGTCTACTGTATCCAGCTTTCAGCGGCAGACAAGCGACTAGTCTTTGTTGGGGTTTTCATAGTCTTTTATATGTACTTGGAAGGTTGTAGTGTTTTCTGCTCATGTTGAAGATATGGAAGCTATATAGCCTTATTTGTAGATTTTATGCTTTCTGGGAGTTGCATGGGAGATGGTCAACATCAGGACATTGTCAATGATACCTAGCAATGTTGTTTTAATTTTCTACTCATTTGCTATTTTAAAACTATTTTATGATAATGCCATTATAAATGTTTTGTTTTAAGCTCCCTAAAAATTTTTGAAGACTTATGCAGAGTAAATTTTCTTTTCTATTACTAAAAGTAAATGTAAAAAATATTCTGCATTGGGAGTTTTTTGTTCTTACAGGTTTGTTTTTTCTTTCAGTAAAATGAGGTATGAGAAAGAGAAGAAAATGGGAAAAGGTAAGTAAAAGGGAAGGCAAAGAAAACAAAATAGAGCAGCAATGAAACATCATTTAATTTCAGTCCATGGATCTCTGATTTTGAAAGCATTTTTAAAGAGTAGTTTTAACATCTAAGCTATAAAAGCAAGCCTTCAACACAGATGTAGCCCTTTAGTGTGAGTGCTTTTAAGATGTAGACATTTTGTACTATATTTTTTACATTGGTAAGCTCTTGGATATTATAAATCATCCTTGCTTTATATGCTATCTGTTTACACATGCACAGAACACATGTATACCATACTGACTTACTTGTTTCACAATCTGGAGTTCTTCTGTTAATTGTTTCCTTTGTTTTTCTGATTCAAACAATTTTTCCTGTATTAAAAAAATCACTGAATTAGTAACTTGTTATGAAGCTATCGATGGATAGCTTTTTCATGCTTTACGTCAAAACTTTTAAATTCCCCTACCATCCCAGTGCTGTAATCTGAAAATGGTGTCCCAGTTATTTTACAGCCTTTCTACATGACATTTAGAAGTGATCAGCTATTTCCTATGTTAGTGTGATAGAAATATATTTTCTGTTTATTTCACAAGGTAGCCATTTTGTAAACTCTCAATATCTGGAGTACAAAAGAAAGAACATGTGTAAATACAAACTGTAGTTTGGGTAATAGCTATCATCACCAAAGAACCCAGAAATTGAAAAGCATTATTTACATTGGTAAGCTGTGGAGTATTATGAAACATCCTTAATTTTTATTGTATGAAAGTATTCTTCCAAGTGAGAAGTAAAGGTTTCTTATTGTACTAAACATGACATATACAATTGGGCTGAGTGCTATCTTCCTAATTTAATCTACTCTTCAAAGATTATTTAAAAAATGAAGACATGGCTGCTTTAACCAAAATATGAAATAATAATTGTTAAGGTAGAAAAATGATTTACATGCAAATCAAATATTATTTTTGAACTTAAAATTAATTTAAACATATGCCTTAAAATGTTGAATTTTGTAAAGCATATCATAAATAAATCCACATTTATTGCTAAAATTAGAAATACTAAGAGTAATTTAATAACCATTTTCCTCTAGAGCATAGGAACTGCTTCAAGATTAAATGGAATAGTATATTCATAGCAACATTGTAATGTTATGAGAAGCAACCTGCTTTCTGGTGTATTTCAGCTCATTTTGCCTAAGAAATGAAATGACAGTGACGAAGACGAACATAACACAGCAATCTAAGGAATCTTCCAGAGACCAGCAGTGACGGTGCTGGCTCATGCTCAGCAAGTCAACCTCACTCTTTATGTTCTAGTTGTTTATGTTTGTAAGTGATAAATAGGTCGATTTTCATTCAGCTTTGGAAACAGTGGCATTGTAAATTCTGCAGGAAGGCTTCACGTTAAGCTAAGTCTACTGTAGTTTTAAAAATCATTTTTACAAAGTGAAAATTAGCCATTGGCATCAAGTTTTTATTTGTCCCTCCAGTCTGACAGGCAGAATAGAGATATCACAGAATAACAGGAAGAGATGAGAGACTATCTACACATCTATGAACTTTATTTAACAACTTCTGTTATTTTTCTATGTATGTATAATACAAATGGAAAAGCTTAAGACATAAAACATCATCTTAAGTGAAATATCTGCTCTATATATTCTTTTGTATCTTGAAGCACATGGTGCTTATTCAGTTGGCAGGGTTTCAGAAAAGGTAAGTATAAAACATAAAATATATTTTACTGAGAATTTAGGTATTATCACTTTAGGATGCATTCAGCTATAGTTTATAAATTTTAAGTGTGTATACAAATTTATTGAATAGCTCCTCAGGGTAACCATGTTTAAATGTAACATTAATATAGCTTTAAGTTAAAATTCTAATAATTAATACTGATATTCAAGTACAAAACTAAAACACATCACTTATTTTAATAATAGCAAACCCTAGAAGCTGAAAAGGATATCAGAGTCTCTACAAAGTCAGATGAACCATAAAATTTAAAAGTTATTATACAGGTATCTCATATAGAAAATGCTACCTTGCCATGAAAAAAAAAAACTGGAGTTGTTTTCTAAGAGAATATGAGGGATTTATCAATTTCTTTTGAGAACTAAATTAATACTTTTCATCTTAATTGTCATGCCAAAAAAAAACCAATAAAAATAGTGGCATCAAAGTCATAAAAGGAAGCACAATAAATATTTTGGTACTAGTGGAATATTTATATACATTTGAAAGGGATATGAATTGGTTAACCTTTTGAAAGGAAATTGAGTAGCATAAGATGTTTCTATATCCTTTGATAAAGCAATTCAAAACTCACAAATTTATTCAATTTGAACTATTACAATTGTTCAACTGATCAAAAATATAACTACAAAACTATTTATGGTGAAACTATTTTTAATAATGAGAAGTTGGAAATAGCCTAAATATCCATCAATAGGAAACTGGCCAAAAAATCTAGAATTTGACAGGTTTGTACACATTAACTTGAAAATAATAATGCTAATGTGAAAGTCAAAATACATATATATATTAAAAAAATAGGTGGTTGGGTACATAAGAAACTGAAAGAATAAACATGGTATATTTAGTCAGAGCTTCCTCAAGAGTTTAGATTTAAAAACTAAGGTGGTAAGTAAATTTCATTCTTTTCTCTTATTAAAGATATTGCTTTAATAAAAAATAAACAATGAAAATTCATTTATTTAAGAAAATAATTAAAAATAATTTAGAAACATATTCCCACCGTGAATTAATAGTAAATCAAGTAGGTAAGCTGCTGTTCTTAAAGATTTGGAAAATATCAAGGGTTTTGTACAAAATTAGAATAGCATTTAAATTTGATATTTTACTTAAAAAAATGAAACTATGTAAAGAGAATCAAACTCTTAAGGTACATTTAGGATTGACTATGTGCTTTTTCTTTCCTAAGTCACACTGCCTTAATTCTAAATTATGTTAACAAAACAAGATGTCCCTGAATCATAAACACGAACGTGGGAGAAATGTATTTCCCAATGAACAGCTGAAGATCCAAAATTGTCATAGTTTCCTTTGTTGGCTCCTCATCTAATCTTTTTTGGCTTCACACCCTAGCCACAAATGTGAGAAGAAGAAAAAAAAGTGACAAGTAGCCAGAGATCAGAAGATATGAACAAAACCTACTGTATGCACTGAAACTTATCTGAATAATGTAAATATAAATAATAAGTGTGTGAACCAAAAATTAACTGTTGGAATGTGAACTAAAGAAAAATTCAGGCCTCCCTGGTGGCACAGGGGTTAGATAATTTCAGAGCTATCAAGCTACAGCCAGTCACTGCAGCATGAGTTCAATCCCTGGCCAGGGAGCTGACCCATGTGGTGCAGCAGAACTAGCCTGTCTCACCCGCTGCTCCCCTCAGCAGTGTATTCAGTAGACCTGCCTATTCTGCTTCCCACTCTGTCTCTGGTGAATCTTCTCACCAGCCCCCCGCTCCCCCGCACCTCCTGCCTAGACCACAGTTCCTGTATGTATAGATAAATAAAAAGAAATATTAAAAAGAAATTAAATTTCAAATAATTCTATATTAATAACCAATATCAATTGATATTAATATTAAATTGCTTGATTGCATATTCTCTTGTTAAAAATAAAACTAAGCTCTACTAAGCTACTAAGCTCAGAACTCAAAATACATCATTTTCTTTTGTTCTTTTTTTCTTAAAAAAAATGTAAAGGAGCTAATTTGGAGATTACCTTAAGTCTATTCACTTCTTCCAATGCATCCTTTTTTTCACGCTTAAGTCTCTCCATTTCATCTGCCTCTAAAGAATCACAGTGAAGGAGCTGTCAATATTAAAATACAAAAGGTATGCATTAGCTACTAATTATAAGAAATAACATAAAAATTCTTTTTGGTGAGTCTTCAGCTTTTCCATTCTAATAAATATTTGGGAATCAGATGATTGTTTTTAAACAGAATTTAGATTATTATAAAGTATATACTCTCTGTTGTTATCTTTGTGATTCTTATTTGCACAATACAACTTTCCTTAGAAGTCTAAATGTTTATAATGTCAAAAAAGACTTTACTGGGAACACAGTGGACTGTGGTGGTAGACTGCAGGTGCTTTGGTGGTGGGTGACCATGGCAATAACACCTGAGGGAGGATACTGTAGTACTACCAAAACGCAGACATGCAAACCTACTTCACCTCAATTTAAAGAAAGATTTCATGAGTTATGAACATAGGCTATTCCCTGAAACATCCACTCCAAATACGTGGTTTCTAAGGCTAGTAAAATGTTGGACATTATTAAACAAGGCAGTTTACATGAACCCAGTTAAAGTCTACTAGTCAATTATGTGTCTTCTTTTACTTAAACAATGTAATGTAACAGTTAAGTGGCTTAAAAAGATTCCTGCACAGAACTGTGATTGAAGATATTAGTAATTCATGTGAATGTGAGTAACAACAGGATAGCAGAAATGACATTTTTTTTAAATAACTTCTCCATGATTTATTTTATAGTTAATTACAAGGTAAAATGACAATCTTATCAGAGATAAAAATCCAAGTTCCAATTATAGTCATCTTCTAATATTTAGGAGTTATAACAGAATTTTTAAATAATAAAATATAATTTAAAGGATTAAGTGGAGATATCTTTGGGTTCAAAAGAGTACTTCAGTTAGGAAAAGTGATTCAGAGTAGGAAAGCAATACAAATTATTAGTCGCTTACCATGTGCAGCTACAGTGCTAAAACACATGTCTGTATAGATATGTGCAATATAATATAGTTGCTATAATCTTATCTCCATTTTACAGTTGAGGAAAAGAGCTCAAAATGTTAGTAACTTGTCTTAAGGTTTCATAGCTTATAAATGGCCACCTTATCACAAACAATTTACTTCTGATATAGCTATTCAATTGTGTTTCACTTATTAAAATTTTGGGGGTAAACTGAGTTAACAAGAACCGAAATGTGAAACGCCCATATTAGGGGATTTACAACACTTTTCTGTGATTTTAAGATGATCCATTCGTGATATCTGATCACTGTGGTGAACTCATCAGATGACGAGAAGCTGAAGTCTATCACATCATAAGTGTAGGCTCCAAACTTGCTTTTTCTGTGTGTAACCTTGTACAGCCGCAGTAGCAATGACTAGAGTCATAGTGAGTTAATTAGATATTTTTGGTTCTAAACAGTAATATACTTATATGTATATATTTTGTAAAATCTATATACTTTGGTATGCCATATTTTTCCCAAACCAAAAGATGTTTGGTCAATTAAACAGAAGTAGCACAGATATACACGAACTTAGCAATTACCCCTTAAAAGATAGCATCTCAAAATCAGATGAAAGGATGAGGAAAAGAAGCTCATACAAAAGATACATGCTTGTGCTTTACAGTTCTAATTATTATAATGTTCAAGAACAAGCAAAAGAAAACTACGCTGATAGAAATCAGGACAGTGTGAAGGTGGCCGCGATGGCTGGTTGGGAAGGTGGCATGAAAGAGGCTTTTGAGTGAGATCACACATGAAAGTCGTACACTTGATGTTTTTCTACTTTATTGTGTGCTTTATAATTCAATAAAAGTATATTTTAAATATATTAAAGAAAAAAGAAGCCATCTTTAACAGTCAAAAAGAGGAAACACAAAAGTAAAAGACAGGCATTCCTAACAAATGGATTATACATTCTGGGCCCTCTTGCGACAGTGAGAAGGTTCATGGGATAACCACAGTGGAATTTCCCCCCGCTTACAGACTGGCAGCTTTCTCAACCACAGATCAATTGATATATTTCAAAAGAAGCAATTCTGGCTTTTAACTAAAACAAAATAGGAATTATACTATGAAACAGTAAGATTTTTTATGTGTTTCTGATGAGCTGCCTAGACAAGAAGTGATTTTTATAGTGTCATTCGAACTGTGGTATAAGACCAATTACTTAATGTATAGAGTTAAATATTAAGTAAAAATGCAATGATGAGGAAAAGATAAGTAATACTTATAGAAGTATTCTACTGTGTGAATATTCTACTGTGGAGTCAGGTGAACAAAAAGAATAACCAAGTTCTTTACAAGGCTATCTTCTCTGTGTTAACAAGCACAATGCAACAAAGGAAACCTTACAAACGGATATAATCCCTCCTGCACAGCACTTTGATCCAAAGCCACAAACAGGAAATTATTGGCATACAGAAGACCTTGCACAATTGCCATTAGCACTTGGGTCTTGTTATCAAAGTATCATAGACTGAATACATTCTTATTTGCCCTAAAATCATACTGGTAAGGAGGAACTAAATTATTGTTTTGAAGTAGGATATTTTTTTGCAGCTAGGAAGAAAACTTTGCATGTTCATACAAAGCACTCTGAATCACCCACTTCACTTATATTGTAAACCACCCCACCACCATTGTCCTTCCTCATCAAACGAGGGTAAAATAGTTTTAAGAACTATACAGTTCTTATTATCATATATAATAAGAAAACAAATTTTAGTTGTCAACAATAGGTAGATAAAAACATAACACCTGAATGAACAGAAGGAAAAAACATGTTATTACAGTTTGTGTTTTCCTACCCTAAATACTAGAGAATTAGTTCTAATAAATCTGTGCCTCAATTCTAAGAAAGTGAGAGTTTCTAAACAACTAAGTCTTTGGGTGATTAGACACATGCTTAGCAGTAAAAAAAGACTGTTTACTAAATGAACAAAATTATATGAGACATTAACATCTATGAAATAAAAATCAATTTTACCAAAAATAAAGTTAAACACTGGGGGAATAAAACCCTCCAGATTAATTTTTTAATAAATTTGAATATCTTAATGAAAAGAAGACAAACATTATCAATGATTCAACAAAAAGACAAGAACTTCACTTCTGAACAAAATTTGGACGAATAAAGTTTCTGTAATTTAAACTCTCCTAGTATAAAACTTTATTTTTCAGTAAGATAATTAATCTGTAAGAAAATTAAATGTAAAGTGGTTCGAATATCATGGAAATTTATTTCTTGCTCACTTTTGCTGTTCCATCAATAATACTATGAAAAAGTTAAAAATTGTGAGTGAGAAAAAATATATAACTAATTTTAAATTCAAGAGAAATTGAAAAACAACTGGAAGAAGGAGATTCAATAAGATGGTTTCACATAAAGTAGCCATTCAAAAGCTAGTATCTTTCTAATCATCAGAAAATTTAATACTGAAAAAAAAAAATCCCATTGTCAAATAGCACTACAAACTATAACTATTCAGACTCAACAAAAAATATTCCAGATATTATTTTCTCTTACGAAAACATTAGCAAAACCCAAAATGAGCAGAGAAATAAAGCCATGTTAAGTTTTTCCCAAATCATCCTCTAAGTTCAATTAAATTCCAATGAAAAAAGCCCCAACTGAATTTTTATTACCATTGGGAATGATTATAAAAACAACAACAACAAAAAAATCTAAGGATTGTATCTACCACTAACAAAGAATCTATACCTGTAAAGCTAGAATAATTAAAATAGCAATGAACTGGCAGAGAAATAGATCCATGGAACAGAGTGGTAGGTTTAGAAATAGACCTGTGCAAATAGGCAGAAATTAGGATGTAAAAATATCTGTCTGTATTTCAAGTTAGTGGCAAAGGCAGCAATAAATGATAATAAAACAAGGACAAAGGGCTATCCATTTGGGAAGACAGAAATAAGTTTAGAGTGAATTAAATACACAAATTATATGTAAAAGAAAATGCCTTAATACAACATTTTTAAATGATAATGACAAAGATTGAATGATGTGAAATATAAATATTAACATTCTATAGAAGGGATTATAGTTCAGGCTGTAAAATTTCAGTGGGTATTACAATTATTATAGGTGTACTGTCATGGGGTGAGTGCAGGGTTGGGAGTTTCATGAGGAGATAGTGATAAAGGAGGAGGTAGAAGATCAAGATGAAATTTTATAATCGATTTTAAATTAACTTTTTTTTACATTTTACTTAATTAACATGCATTAATTTTATAATTTATAAAAAAAATGAACAAAGCTTACATACATAACATGCAACAGTCAAAACTTACAATTTAAATGTAATCAAGACATCTCTATAAGTGGTACTCTACCTGCGAATCTAAAAGGTTGGAAATTTCATGTGTACCAACATTTACTTCATCCAACTGTAAGCAAAATAAGTTCCTAGCAACCTGGACAAAATCTAAAATAGAACATATTTCAGTCAGAAGACAGCAAGAAATCTTATTTAAATATTACTTTTCCTATATGAAGTTGAAGTTATGTGTTATAACTGATGCTTCAAATTTAAAATACACAAATTACCTTAAAATGGTGTGATACATGTAAGTTCAATTAGTAGAGAGAAACTGGTTTAACTTACTTCAGTAAACTTTACCAGTTAATAAATCAGTTAAGATGATACCAAAGCGACTACATATCATAATCATATCTATTTCTCTCACTCATTATGTGTAAAATTTTTCCTGAAACCTGACAACATTATGATAAAGCTTTTCTAGCTGGAAAACCCAAGGCTTAATAATAGTAATAACAACAATAATTATAACAATAACGATAATAATAATAATGCCAGCAGTTAATATTCATGTAGCAGCGTTTGCAGGTACTTTCATCCTACAACAATTTTTGGAGGTAGGTCCCTTTGTCCTCTCTGTTTTACGGACTGCAGCTAAAGCATCTGGGCTTTATCCCTGCCTTACATGCTAACTCAATTACTTTCCTTATCTACTTTCTGCCTTAATTGTTGCGGTTTTAGTTATAAGTGCCTTTGTGTTTCCTGTTCGTTATTTTAGGGTGACTTCCAAAAGAAAAGGAGAACAAATTTATATTTTCCACCACTTCAAAACCATATAAGTATATTTAGTTTTTCAGCAACACAGAAGTTAACATGACATAGTGTTACATTTACAATATAAGAAAAAAATATCGATGCTGTCAAAGATACAAAAAAGCTGTTAGAGTCACACATTACTAGAGGCAGAACAAACATGTTTAAAATGTCTTTGGAAAACAACTTATCTATATCTATACACACATATATGATGCATTGACTAAGTTTATAGCAATATGTGATCTTGAATAATAATTACAAAGCACCATAAAACATATATTTATGATATATATGTGTATATATATATTTCATATTATGTCATCCCACTAACTAAAAACTTAGAATTTCACAGTAGCAGAATTAAGACTTCTATATTTTATATTATTTTTTGTTATTATTAATGCAATATTATAACAAATTAAAAAATATAGAATGATACTTTATAGCTATCAGATTCTAAGAATTTCTGCTTACCCAGCCAGCCCAGTAATTCTAACTGAGTTTATAAGGAATTGACTGAGGAAACTTAAAATAGATGTGTTTTCATTTTTCTCTCCTTCCTCCTAAAGAAAAGTATTCTTAATGAAAATGAGTCACAATAAATCTCCAACCAAGTGTCTGTAATGATACATGATGAACCTAATATTACCTCCGAAAGACACTGTCCCCTTTGGGTCTACTTGTACTTGCTGTCTCAAAGCTTGGTGTTGTTCCTTTGTCGGCTGGATACCAAGATAATTTAGAGCCTGGAAGGAAAAGAACTTATGTAAAGCAATTTCTAAACCCCCAAAGTATAAAAGTTTTCATTACAACTTTATGTCACAGTCCAGTGAAAAGAATCAATATCAGGAACAGTGACCAGAATTAGATGCCCCAGGAAAGTCAGCTGACTATTTGTAGATTAATTTTCCAAAGCATATTAGCTTCCTGATTCCATTTCCATCTCTGCTGTTTTGTTTTTTTTCTTTTCAAGACAAGCTGATTGTACAATGCCAAATTTATAATCACAGCCCTAGAACCAAACCTCCAACTACCTCTTTATTTAAAATATATGTAATGGCAAAAGTAAAATAGCAAGGCAATCCTATTAAATAAGACTTAACTTTAATAATTTCTGTAAGTAACACACTAAAAAAATGGGTATTTGGTTAAGGAATGTTCTGTGCTTGAGCACAAAGCTAAAGTTGATAGGGATTGGAAATAAATGTAACACGTTCTAATTTTTAGCTTACTTTGGGGTATGCTTACCCCAAAGAGTAAATCAAAAGGCTTTATCTAGAACCCACTTCTACCTTTTTTAGTAGCTACGCTGATTAAAATTCACAGACTGGTATATCCTAATACACATTGCCTGCTTGGATTTTACAGACAGAACTGTAATTTTTAGCCAGAAACATGGCCATCTAGATAAAAGATACTTTCCAACATTCTTCAGGTTAATGAAGCCATGTGATTTGATGCTAGGCAAGGAGACACAGGATGAAGTGTTACAGGGAACTTCTGGAAAGTCTTTCAAAAGTGTAGTGGGCATTTCTTTTTTTTCTTTTCTTTTTTTTTTTTTTAGGACCTACTTATACTCTAGAAACCTTTGAGCTGGTGTTGCTAGGGCTGCCTACCCCCTGCTTGCACAAGGCCCTGGGAGTACCTGCAGCCCTCAGCCCTGAGGGCTCCAATCCCCCACTCCACTCCTCCACTCCTGGAACCCTGTGACCTGAGAAATATCATCTGCCCAGAATCTGGTCACCCTCCCCCAGTCATTTATTTAACTGACCTACTTTGCCCCTTTTGTTGGCTGTGTGGGTAGGAGGGGTGGGGGTGGGGGGGACACCTGACCTGGTAGGACTGAATGGACCTTGTCTCTGGGTGTTAAAAAAAAAAGTATTGTCCAATTTCCAAACATTGTGTAATTTTTTAGTTATCCTCTTGTTTTCTAGTTAATTCCACTGTGTTGGGGAGTATAAACTATAGGATCTCAATTCATTGAAACCTGTTGAGATTTGCTTTATGCACCAGCCTATGGTTTATTTTGGCAAATACTCTGTGTGACCTTGAGAAGAATGGATGTTCTGCATTTATAAGGAGCAGAGTTCTGTGAAGATCAATGAGCTAGAGGCTGGTTTATCATGTTCAAATCTATAGCCTTGAGGGGATTTCCTGCTTTTTCTCTCAGTAACCAAAGTAAATATTTTACACCTCCCCAAAATATTTTTATGGTTCCCAACATCTAGTTTCCACTCTAGTTTCGACCTGTTGCAGTGTACTTTATTTCCTCCTGAGTTCCTGGGCTTCTTCCTGTTGTCCTCCTGACTGTTGCTGATGAATTCTCTTAGCTTCTCTGCAAATATCTTTCCTTGATCTCCCTTTTTTTTTATTTTATAACAGTTTATTTTTACATCATTTTGTACATTTTTTTTTCTATCTCAATTGTAATCCCTGAGGGTTTCCCATCATCAAGTCACCCGTGTGCCATCACCATAATCCCATGCACTTTCCTCCCCCCCCACCCCGTTTTTGATCCCATTCCCCACTCCACCCCCACAAAATGTCTCGTATATGGTTGGTAGTGGGCATTTCTTTTCTCCTTTCCTTTCCTCTTTAGGGTTAATTAAAAGAAAAAGGCAAAAATAAAAGGAAGGAGTGAAGGAGGGAGGGAGGGAATGAGAGGAAGGGAGAGGAAGAAAGGAAGGAAGGAAGGAAAAGACTGTTGGAACTTTAGCTCATGAAGTGCCCCCAGGAGCAGAAAGAGAGTTGGGGTTGGGTCCCTAACATTCTAGAACCTCAATGCCAGTCCTTCATTACCTTCTTTCAGGTTTTTTTTTCATGTGAGATTTTAAAAGTTTTCTAAAGGAAACCACTGTTATTTTAAGTTTTCCAGTTATTTATAGCAAAACCTAATCATAACTAATACTCAGGACTTGAATAGATGCCACATTACTTATTGAATCCTAACAAGAACGTATATAATGCCAAGGAGATCAAAACTAAATAAAATTTAGGCAAGGTTTAGTGTTGGCAATTATCCTTTATAAAATTTCTTCTTCCTGGAGATGGCACATGGGTGACTTGGTGATGGGAAACCCGTGGGGATTACAATTGAGATGGAAAAAAAATGTACAAAATGATGTAAAAATAAACTTTTGTAATAAAAAAAAATAAAAAATAATAAAAAAAGTAAAAAAAAAATTCTTCTTCCTCTGGAATCTGTTTATTCATTTATTTCATTCGCCAGCTATTTATTTAGTGCTTACTAGTTGCCAGGCATTTAACTAAGCAAAGAGATACATGAACAAGATACAGCTGCTAACCTCAAAGAGCTATGACCTCTTTGAGGAAGAGAATAATATGTATTAAGTAATTTGCAGCAGGATATACCATGGCAAAAACAAATTGGATAACATATAGCTAGTTGGGCACAGTGAGAGAAGATAGATTTGGAAGGGGCGACTCTCAGGAAGGATCCCTTCAAAGTGTTTCAGAGCTTAGTGTAGCATTCTCTGCCTAGTCTGTCAAAGATAATTGCCTTGCATAACACAAAAACAGTAATTACTAACTTTTGCATGTTCTTTTTTCCCTTTTGTCCTAAAAATGTTTAACTACACACACACACATACATAAACAGAGAAACAAAGAATACCCATGTTCTCATTATCATTAAGTATTCATTGATATTTACTTGAAAATTGTACACATATGTAAGAAATAAACATAGACTTGGTTGAAAGTTTTCATCATTTTTCCTTAACAACTACCACTACCCTAAGAGTATCCTTCCTATGTATGATTTGATGCTTTCACTACATAAGCATGCATGTTCTGATCATAGTACTCTAGTATATTAAAAATTTTACATGAATAGCATAAAAAGAAAACCTTACAAATTACTTTTATTCTTATCTCAGTGAAGATTTCATAATTGCTCAATATTGTTATCTGCAAAACTAGCTTACTTATTTTAACTTTGGTATCCCGCTGTATAAATATATTACAGTCTATTATATTTTTTTCTGATTAATGCACATATAATTACCCCATCTGTAATTTATTACTAAACATTGTACATATCCCCTTGTAGATATGTGTGAAAATTTCTCTACTCTCCACCTTAGCAGAGGAAATTCCAAATCATTGGGTATGTCTATTGTCAATTTTAATATACTGAAAAATTTCTCTCCAAATTGGCTGTACCAGTTCATGCACACCACTAGTAAATACACACTCCTATGTCTACATTTCAACAGCATTTGCTGCTTTCATACTTCCTTTTTCGTCACTGGGTGTGAAAGAGTACATAGTCTATTAACTTGAATTCCCCTAAGATTAAACTTTTAACATGTTTACCAGCAATGTTTTGATTTATAAGTTATTTAGTAACATGTTTTAAAATTTCATAGGATTCTAAGGTTATTTAATTTCTGACCTGTTGGCATTCTTGCAACTGTGATAACTATACATGTCTGCAGATATTGCCAAATATCCCCTAAGGCCAAAGAAAATGCCACGGTTATTCTTGAGCAACACTGCTCGGCATACAAACACTATTAAATAGTTTGGTGCATATTTCTCTATGAATGAAGAATTTATATTAAAATGCATAATGTTACATATTTTTTGCAAAAATTAAATTACACTATATATAGTGCTTAGTGTTTTAAAAATTATCACCCTTGTCACAACTTCCTATTGTATACACTTAGGAATGCTTTTTCAAGATGTTAGAACAATACATTACAACTAGCATTTGAGTATATTTATTCCAGATTTTGAATGTAACAAAACACTGCAAAGGCTCCTTTTGAACTTCTTAGAATGGACAACGGTCACATTTTGAGTTGTATAGTCCCAAGTGTTTTATTTTTACTACATAAAATTTGGTATATACTAACACCATATAGGTAATATATATATAGGTTTTAAGATTTCATAACATTTTAGTAAAATAGTCTTAAAAAGAACATATGAACAGTAAATTTAAAATAGAGTTATCCTTAGGGAGAGGGACAGCTGATCAGTATACACAGATAGGTCAAAAGGTTCTTATTTACTTAGCTGGGCCATGAGCACATGCATGTTTCTTGTTTTGATTTTTAAATTGTACATATATAGCATAATCATTCTTGCATATGAGGGATATTTTCATGTAAAGAACTAAAAACAACTTTATAAAGGTAACACAGGGCCCTCCCTGGTGGCACAGTGGGTTAAAGCATAGCACTAAGAAGCTAAAGCCACTTCAGCATGAGTTCGATCCCCACCCCGGAGGTGACCCACATGGCATGGAAGACCTCTCCTGACCAGCCCGCTGCTCGCCTCAGCAGTATACTACAAAGGTCAGGCTGTTCTGCTTGCTCCCAAGTCTGTCTCTGGTGAATCCTCTCACCACCCCTGCACCTCTGGCCTGTACCCCGATTCTGTATGCATACATAGATAAATCTTAAAAATAAATAAGTAAAATAAAGGTAACACAAATAAAGTACCTATCACATAAGGTAACTCAATAAGTAATAATAATTCTACAAAATGAAATGACTGTGTAAATTAATTTAGAACTAAACTTAGGTGAAAATTTTGTTGAAAGTAACATTTACTCAAGATAAACACAGCATGTCAGTAAAGTAAGTTCACAATTTAACTTGAAGGTAATTTGTATTTTATCACAAAGTAGTTTCCAGTAATTTTTTGAATAACTAATATTATTTTTTAACCTTAAACAAAAATGCAAATGTGTTAACTGGGCAAATAAATGTCCTTAATTTCTCCTGATCTGAATGATGAACTTAAAAATGTTCCTCTTTACAATATCAGTCACATACTTCCAACCTAATACAGAGAACATCTCATTAACTATAATCAGATATTGGATATGCCACTATTCACTACATCTTTCTTCAAATGTTACAGAAATGGCAAGAGGTAAAGTAAATATCAGTGAAATGTTATCTCTATTCCCAAAGAAACTTTCTCAGGTATAAAAATATAAAGACTGTAGAGGTGTAATAATTTTTGTCTTCAAGCCAACTAGTAAATTATATTCTTATTTGCTATGTTTACCATACCTACTTATAACGTTAATAGTAGACTCAAATATAATACATAGTACTCATAAAAATACTTTGAAGAAAATATCATTACAAATAACTATGGTGAAATTATTTTAAAATACCTGTAAATAAAACCATTCTCAGAGTAGTCATGAAAAGTTTAACACAACCACATGGTCTTCATGGAAAATAAACAATTCTTTATTCAGACAAGGAATTAATAACTATTATGACAGATGTCACTTTCCAGTATATACTGATATACTTCAGGATTTCAGGAAAACACTACCATACTTACATGGATATTAACAGGAAACGTTCCTAATCCATTTCTTGACATTTCTGTATATCTTAAAATTATACTGAATAGGCAAAGTAATAACTACATAATCAATGAACATCTTTTCTTCATGAAATTTTACTATAATGACAGTTTTTCAAGATGCTAAAAACAATGCATTTGTAGAAAATTAGGGAAAAAAGACATTTTATTTCCTTTTAAGTATTTGAGCATATTGGCTTTGTCTTTTACAGAACAGGAAATAGATTAAAAAGGAGAAAGGGGAATCTGAAAAAAGCAACTAAAATAGAAGGACCTATTTCACACTGAAAAAACATCAATATAGGACCATCCACTAGTAAGACTAGCTTAGACATATCTGGGTGAATAAAATTTAATTTGGATTTTAGAAAAATATTTTTTACTAAGTAAAATAAATATAGCTTCAAACTCTGAAAACAATGTTTTATTAAGTAAATCACTAAATATAGTTTAAATGTAAGTAGAGAAGCTGAATTTAAATAGGATATAAAATCCCTTGGCTCTGTCATTCTTATTTTTTTACAAAAACAAAAATCAATGTGCTTGGGTAAAAAAGGAAACTAAAGAATGGAATTCTGATTCCATAATCAAGAAACTCATTTCTTAGAACTAACACCAATTGGGATGACTTCTTATTGCTATGAAAATTAATAGATATTTATATCATACATCATTGCTTTGTTATATATGAATAGTATATTGTTAAATCTTCAAACTCTCTATTTTTTGAAAATGTTAACCCTGACTGTAAATTTTACCATTAGCTAGTATTTACATTTTATCCACATAAAGAGTGTAAGTTAGCAAAAGATGATGAGGAGTTTGAAAACCTCAAATATCTCATTAATCAAAGCAGGTATTTGAACAGAGTGCAGTAGGTATGGTCATTAAGAAGCTTTAGGGCTCTGCAAAGTCATGTCAAGGTCTGCGAATACTGAGCTGAATGATAAGAGCAAGTCTGGATGAAGGAACTGGACTGAATCAGAATTTGAACATGGGTATCTTCAGGTTTGCAATGAAAAGGGTACTGCTTAGGACCATGCAGAAAATGACAATGAGAATATTTTAATCTATCTAGATTTATTTCCATACTCTTCCTAAAATATATATTTAAGAAAATCATTATCTGAAAATACAGGGAAGTAGAAGCTATGGAATTTTAGTACTATATTCACTTGAACATAATTTTAAAACAGTGTTTTCTTCTGTCAGTTCCCAGGTCACCTGACAGGAGAAGTTTCAAGATGTTTTTTTATTTTTAATTTTCTTTTTTTCAAAGGAGAGTAAAACCTTAGTATAACACTACCATCTTCTTTATATGTAGTGGTCATCTTACTATTACTTTTTTCATTTGAATTTAGTTTCCCTTTTTAAAAAAAAAAAAGTTGAACAATAAAGGATTATTTCATCTTACTATAAATTACTCTTTGTCGTAATTTATTCCATGTTTCCTTTGATTCTAGATTGTAAAACATCACAATTGTCTTATTCCTATACAGGAGGAAACTATTCATTTGAAAGTCAATTTAGTTACAAAAGAATACCTTTTTATTCTGTACTACTGAGCCACCATGAATTACCCAAATCAAACATGAATGAAATTAATTTAAACCCAAACAGGCATTCAATGAAATGCAAATACATAACTCTGCAAGAAACTAATAGCTATAGTAACTTTATCCTATCAAAGAATGCTTCCTTGCTGTTGTTTTATGGAAGAAAAATGAAAACCTAAAGTATTTACCATTTCCAGCTTTTCTGCCTTAAGGCGAACAGAGGGACTTAGGGAAACCTTCTTTCCTCGTGGTCCATAATTATCAGTGCAGGCAGGGGCAGTATCTATGAGACAACAGGGTGCACACATTAATTGGAAATTTAATTGGACTAGAACTTTCCATTTGACAGGATGTATTTTGGGCTCCTACTGTTCAAAAATAATCTGGCTAATCAGTTGGCAGTTTCCATGATCTTTTCTTTTTCTTTATATCTAAAATACATCACATAAACCAGCTTTAGTTGAGTCCTAAAAGATATGAAAAAGAGTGGTAAATGAGGCATTAAGTCCCATGAGCATATTAACTTAAAGGTAAACATATAGGCCCTCCCTGGTGGCGCAGCAGGTTAAAGCACAGCACTAAGAAGCTTAAGCCACTTCTGCATGAGTTCGATCCCTGCCTGCCCGGGAGGAGATCCACATGGCACGGCAGACCTCTCCTGACCCGCCCACTGCTCCCCTCAGCAGTGTACTTCGTAGATCTGCCTGTTCTGCTCCCCTCTGTCTCTGGTGAATCCTCTCACCCTCCGCATCTCTGGCCTGTACCCCAGTTCTGCATGAATAAATAAATAAATCTTAAAAAAAAAAAAAGGTAAACATATAACCCACCTTTATTTACTCTTTCATCACAATGCTTATTAATTATAAGTGAAAAGATTTTTTTTCTTTCAAAGTAAGTAAAATCGTACTAGAGATTCAAAAAGATTATGAAATTTCTTTGGCACAAGTGATTTTATTATGTGAGTTCCGATGGAAGTTTAGAAAAAACTCATAAATGTAAATTGTTTCAAGTTTGTACATAAAGGATAATATAGACTCAGAAGTTGTTAAGCTAAAAATCCTACTTCTTATTTTACAGTAGGGTTATATTTCAAGTCCCATAAATGGACTTTGAAGAGTTAGGTTCCTGTACCTCTCGCCAATTTTCTAACACCTTTACAATATGCTTGCATTATATGGATGAGCCTTGCTTGGCCTTGTTTTGTGAATAAGAGACCAGGTGTTACAAAAGGCTTTAACTTGAAAAATTATTTGCTTCATTATGTCAATCATACTATCTAAATTGTCATTATTCTAAATACACTTTAAATGGTATTTTACTAGTTCTACATAGAAACAAGAGGAAGAGAAAAAAACTTTTTAAAATGTCACATCTTTATGCAGTGTTTTAATTTTTTTAATCTCTGAGAGCATCTGTCTCTAAGTACAAAGTAATTTGCATTCTCTTTCTTAAGAACATAAGAAGCCCATATGAAAATAAATAGTCTTCCTCTAAACCTTTAACACATCCCGAACAGTCTATGTAAAATTGTGAATACAGCTTATAGGTGTCAAGATCATTTAAAAAAAAAAGTTTGACTTTAGCTTCAAAAGGAATCAAACCTTGAAGGGGTGATTTTAGTATAACAGAATTTTCAGGAATCAGATAAAAGCAACAGTCTCCTTTGTTACTGTGTTGCCTAATTGCTGGCCATGGAATAAAAATAACTGTGGGGATGGATGACACGCGTATTTTTTTCTTAAATTTTTTCCTCTTGAGAGAAATTCTATGCCAAACCTGAAGTGTGGTATAAAAGATCAGCGTGTTGGGCCCTCCCTGGTACCACAGTGGGTTAAAGCACAGCACTAAGAAGCTAAAGCCACTTCCGCATGAGTTCGATTTCCGCCCCAGAGGTGACCCACCTGGTGCAGCAGACCTCTCCTGACCCGCCCGCTGCTCCCCTCAGCAGTGTACTTCGTCAGTCGGCCTATTCTGCTCCCCACTCTGTCTCTGGTGAATTCTCTCACCACCCCTGCACCTCTGGCCTGCACCCCACTTTTGTATGCATAAATAAATAAACCTTTTTTTAAAATCAGCATATTGTGGGGTGGGAGAAAAGACTACAGAGCAGCTAAGGCACACACTTTAGTTTTCACTTTTGAGGTTTGGACTGCTGAGGCGTGACAGAGAGCTTCAGTTTGGAGCTCGATTTACAATGAAAGTACACTAAACCCAGATGGACCCATGCCAACCAAATTAAGGTCTCAGATAAAGACTAACTCTGGGTGTGAATTACTCAACTCAAGTGTAAGTGTGTGGAGGAGCTGAGGAAGGGATGAGCGTGAGGGAGAACAGAAGGGGGTGGGACAGGGACACATACCATTGCAGGTATGTATGGAGGCATGCCTCTCACTCCTGCTTTTCTACATCTAATAGGAACATCTGCTATGTGTGGCATTAGAAGTAAGAGATTAGTGCTTATGTATGCCTACTTTTGGCCAGGAAGTGTGCCAAGTATTTTACATGTGTAATGCTTATATAAGCTCTTTCATCTTCACAATAACCACAATGACCTGGTGTTATTATTCCCATGACAAAGATGAAGAGACCAAGGCCTCCAAAAGACAGAGAAACTAGATTAACCACACAATTAGTAGATGAGAATGTTAGGATTCTAACCTTTTGTGAGCTGTGAGATTAATGCTTGTAAATGTGTCACTATCACTCATCACCAGTTTTCTCATCTGTACAATACAAAACAGACCACCTGCAGGAATTCTAAAAGTAAAATAAAATCTCATAGAAACTACTATAAAAACTAAGAAGTATTAATATAAACAAAGATACTATATTTAAATAGGAAATTAAATATAAGGTTATACTGACCACTCTTTCAACAATATGCAATCATAGCTTGACAAAATTTTGCTTCTTTTCCAGATATCCTTTCTGTAAGCATTTACCTCTGAGCCAAAACCTTAAACATATACATCCAGCATGTTTTGGTAATTCAGAGTAGCCTGACCTGAAAAAGCCCTGGCCTGAAAGCTCATAGATGGTTTTCCTTGTTCGCCACTGTTTGTCTCTTGGTTCCAGCTTATTTATTTGTTCCTTCCTAAGAGAATAAAACTTTATGACAGCTTATTAGTCTTCTGTTGTCATTCTTCTTTTTTTTTTTTTTTAAAGATTTATTTATTTATTCATACAGAACTGGGGTACAGGCCAGAGATGCGGAGGGTGAGAGGGTTCACCAGAGACAGAGTGGGGAGCAGAACAGGCAGATCTACGAAGTACACTGCTGAAGGGAGCAGTGGGCGGGCCAGGAGAGGTCTGCCACGCCACGTGGTCACCTCCGGGGCAGGCAGGGATCGAACTCATGCGGAAGTGGTTTAAGCTTCTTTTGTGCTGTGCTTTAACCCGCTGCGCCACCAGGGAGGGCCCGTCATTCTTCTTTTTAAGAATAGAAGGTAGGCAATGTTTTCTAAAGGCAGGATCAATACCATTTGGTTAATAGCATGAAACTTCCATGGGTATTATCACTTCTATACTTCAAATTCAAAAGCCTTTAGTGCACCTGCTATCATTAAGGTAATGATAGCATTTTAGTCATGCGATGATTCTTCACTTATTTCCTTGAGAATGTTCTTGAAGTGGTTTTAGCTAACTAAGAGTGGTATGACTCTGGATTTGAAATAAGAAGTATATATAACAGAACAGTTTCAGAAAACACATTCCAGTACTATGTAGATTTTTTAAAGTATTACTAGTTTTATACTCTGGAAGATTTTGAGATGGGTAAGTTTACTCATTAAAGCTTCTTCATTTTTAAAAAGTATCAACTGACTGATGGAATCTAGGAGTGATAATGAAGGATCTAATTTGGGAACCATCTACAGTGAAGTTCTATTAACACAATGATCACAAAGCATATAAGCTAATGTAGTGATAATTTAGAGTTAACTTTGCTTTTTCCCCCCCTAGAAATATCTGGCCTGCTGCATTTATATGGAAATAAGAAAATGGGACTGAGTCAATGCTATTTTTGGTTAGAAATGTTCCATTTTAACTACATTTTAATACTTACATTTACTTATAGCTTAGTCATACAAAATACTTTTCATTGTTATTTCCCTATTACAAATCTAGCATTGTTTCTTACTAGTTTTTGGAATATGTAGGAGGATGCAAAAGTGAATTCAAGATTAGAAGCTTATATTTCTGGTCTAGAAATATGCTTTGGAATATTACTGAGCTTCACTCTAGTCTGCAGATTGTACAATGATAGTAACGACAAAATTTACTAAGCACATACTACATACTAATTACAACATTAAATGCTGACACACATGATACTGTTTAATGCCTTCACTAACCCATAAAGCAATTAATTCAAGGTTACATTGCTAACGAATTGGAAGCAAAAGTATGAACCTCTAAGTTTGCATTCAGAGCCCAGTGATCAACCACTGTACCATTCCCACACCACATTCAGGCCTCATACTATTTCTTTACTTATCTATTTGTCCATGTTTTCACATTATATGTACAAACGTATTATTCACCCACAAGAAAATTATGTTCTTATATGACTGAACCCACCTTGCTCTAGTTAATATAGACTATTACAAATATTATCTGATAAACACACATACCTAAGCAAACCCACACATATTTCAATATATTTAGATGTTTTCTTTTCTTTTTTTTTTAAAGATTTTATTTATTTGTGCATACAGAACTGGGATACAGGCCAGAGACTCAGGGGTGAGACAGAGTGGGGAGCAGAACAGGCAGATCGACGAAGTACACTGCTGAGGGGAGCAGCGGGCGGGTCAGGAGAGGTCTGCCACACCATGTGGTCACCTCCGGGGCAGGCGGGAATCGAACTCATGCGGAAGTGGTTTCACCTTCTTAGTGCAGTGCTTTAACCCGCTGCGCCACCTTGAAGGGCCTATTTAGATGTTTTCTAATCTGAATAATGAAGGTTCTTAAACCCATGGGTTACTATGCAATATAAGTATCCTCAGAGAAAATATCCTCATTCTTTCATAACTCTTACTGAGCTGTGTTATGTACATGTGATATACTCAGTAAATGGTTACTGAATAAATGGCTGAAAGAGGCACTGAGTAGCTCAATAACTTAAAACTTAAAAACATGCTACATAAATGTTTCCTCACCATGTGTTTAATTTTTCCTCACATGGGTTCCCAGTTTAACAAAAACAATATATCAAGATAATAGAAATTAATTATGTATGGGGAATAATATTAATAAATCTTAAGAATCAACAAATATCACTTAATAAAAAGGTTTATAACTTATAACTAAAAACTGATACTAGCCCACTGGTAAATACTGCTCCAAATCAGAGGGAACTGCTATAGAATCTACTACAATTGCTTGTGAAGTGTAGTAGTTATATACTATGATCAGAATATTTATGTCTTTCCAAAATTCACACATTGAAACTTTAACCCCCCAAATAAATGGTATGTGGGTGGGGTCCTTTGAGTGGTGATTAGGGCACTAGGATGCAGTGGTCATTTGTGGAATTTATGCTTCAGATCTGTGTTATGCCTAGTCTCCTCTGCCATGTGAACTCAGAAGAAGTCTGCAACTGGAAGAGGTCTCTCACTCAGGCATGGCAGCACAATAATCCTGATTTCCAGTCTCCAGAAATGCAATAAATAAATGTTTGTTGTCTTTAAGCTACTCAGTCTGTGGAAGTCAGCTAAAGCAGCCCTAGTAGACTCAGACTCTAGATAATGTAGACTCAGACTCTAGATAATGTATACTATTTCTCCCTTATTTTGTAATTCTGATACATATAATGCCATTAAAATTAAAATACAGGCATACAAATTTGCATAATAATTTAAACATGTAATTAAGTTTTTTGCAAGTATAGTTCTTTATTGGTTTACTTAATTTGGGGGGATAATTTAAAGGGAGGGAATTTTCTTGCTTGAAATTTGATAACAGACATTTTACAATTTGATAAAAATCCTTGTTTTTTTATTGGTAGTTTATACAATTAGTCCTTTAATGTTTTTTAAATTTAAAAAATCATTTCATGATAATTAAGGACCATTAACACTAAATTAACAATACTGATGTTCTTTCTGATTTATATTTAACTATATCTTCCCATAAAATATATTTCTTAAGTTATGCTCTCTTCTATAATTTTTCCGAAAATGCATTTAATATATATGTACGAAAAGGACAAGGCAACCTAATCTTGATTTATAAGAGTTTTTCACTATCTAGTTTCAATAGTTCAAAGATTATTATAGCTTCAAAGACACTGTTATGATAATGATAATGAATCCTTTAAAATACCAACCTTTTGTAAAGAAAATTTTCCAACAAGTCATACTCTAACAGGAACCACTGCACAATTCACTCATTTACCCTTTTATTCACTGAAGGTGAAAAGATGTAATACACCTTCCTTAAAGTCTATTAAGTCACATTATGTATTCTTCATCGCAAGACAGTAATTGAGAAAAATAACAAGAGGAATTAAATGTGCATTTACCTGTCTTAGATATATCTGTAGGGCTGTTGTCCAAAGAAGTAATTGGAGTCTGTTCTGTTTCCTCATATCCAGATTTCATCTATGAAAGAAAATGAATATAAAATGTCATTTTTCAAAGTAGGTCAAAGACCAATCTAGAAGCTAATGTTAACATAAAAAGAATAGTTGAAGAGAGTAAAGCAAAAGCTCATAAAATACTAAATCTTTAAGACTCTGATATATTCATCCTCAAATAAAGCAATTCAGAATAATTAAAAGTAAACAGCTGCTTTCAGCTCTACCATGTCCAAGGTCAACAAAATACAAGGTCATACATCTATCTTTTAAGGGCATTAAAACCTTAAATAAAAAAGTATAGGGGCTGATAGCCTATCTTACACTTCATATCTAATTAGCATTTAGTTAAGTTACCTTTGATAAATTTTATTTCTCTCACTGAAAGCCTACCTACCTGAGCTTCCTATTTTGTTTCATAGCTAACACAGATTTAACGATTATATGCTCTATTTTATAACTTTGTTCCTTAGGGCACTGTACCAATTGGTAACTGTATCAATTTTGAAATAAAATCTCCACCTTTGGCATGATTCAAATAAGGGGAACTATATTCTAGAACACACAGGTGAGGGAATAGTATCTGCCTCCATTGGATGACCAGGATGTCTCACTGTGCATAAAAACAAAGGGAGAAAACAGAAATAACAATGAGTTAAACCACATTAAAGACTGTCTGAAAATAAATCTAGCTTTCCTAGTAGTTCTGAATAAAATATATCTTTGTGAATCCATTATGTCAAGCATTTTCTAACTTAGTATGACCTTCTGGCACAGGAGACATGCTGTTTAAAAAAAAAAAAAAGATACTAGCAGCACAATATAAATATCTTAAACAGAAAGAATTAAACTCTTTCAAGGAAATATCAATTTGCTAACAAACTGCACTACTGAAATTATAATTTTATGTGTATATAACAAGCATAAATACATATGGAGATTTATGGACTGCATAAAGAGAAATTTAAGATTACCTGATTTATCTTAAAAGATGGTAAAATAGCATCTGTAGTTTTGGGAGTAGATGAGGTCTTTGGAATTAGTATTTCAGGGGAAGAAGTCATAAATGTTGAACCTTGAAGGCCATATTCTTCTGAAGCTTGTAAGCGGGACATACAGGACAGGTTCTCTGGAAGACTGCTGTCCAATCTTTGTCTGATAAATGCTATCTCCCAAGCAGATTCTGACCTAGCAATTAAAAGAAATTGTTTTACATATATGTTGCAGCTATAGTATAATTCTGAGATAACAGTGTTTCATATATTATCAAAAACTATCAAACATACTTGTTTTAGGGATTAAAGTACTAAACATAATGTAAATTACTATTTTTAAGGAGTCATGCTAAATGACTCATCCTATCTTATGGATAGGATAGTTACCTCAATTTGCTTCTGGTAATTATGTTTTTTGCTTCTTCAAATGATACACCAATCATAGATTCCTTGTTTATTGAGATGAGCTGATCTCCTGGCTTCAGACGTCCATCCTAACAAAAACATAAACTAATGAGGAATGCTTTAAAAAATACTAAATGATGTAATTAAAGCATTGTTCCAGCAAAGAATGTTTAAAAGAATGAGTAAAATCAACTTGAGACAAAGAAGTTCAGTAGCAAAAGTTTTGATTAAAGCCTTGTTTGGCACTCAACACAAATGAAATTGGACAGTACGGTATTCCTTGAGAAAGTGTGGCTCCTAGGGAATCCTGAACATCTGCAACCAGAGCCTGAGCACTAGGAAGAGAGGTCTATTTAAACAATCCGGAACTCTGAAACAGATACAGCTCTGACACTGTGATGAAATATGCCAAATCCTAGCATATTTCAGATTACAAGGCCCATTCACTTTATTTCCCAACCATTTCTGCATCTTTCATACTTGTTCCACAGTAAGAATTTTTTAAAAATCAGTGAAGGATCTTAATTATATCAATCTTACCTCTACCTCAGCTCATGATCTATTTCATCTTTTAAAAAAAAATGTTTTTTTATGGAATTAACATCATTGTTTCCATTACAGAAGTGCAGAATAACCACCTGCTCAGATCTGCTTTCCCTTCTGAATCAGTTCAAGCTTGCTGTGTAAATAGCTTAAGTCCTGCGAATGATGACCACCTTTAATTATCTAGCACTGTCTTTGCTAAACCAGGCTGTGCCTATAAGTAGCCTGAATAAAAAACAGCCAATCAATTGCAGGTTTCGCTATCTTCATCTGTCTTTTATCACCTTGAATTAAACTAGAAAAGGATGAGCTCTCTTCATTTTCAGTTCCTAAGATACTTCACTATCATCTGTACAAAGCAGAAATTCCTGTATAGGGAATATATAGTACTGTAACTAGGGAAGATGCTTATATGGTTAAAAAACTGGATTGTCACCTGATGTTATTTACAGAAATTCAAGAAAATATTTTACTTCAAAGTTTTAGCTACTAAAATATATGTTAGATAATTGATCTTCGAACTGCATTACATATAATAAATGGTGATCCCTGATTAACTTACTACCAAGTAACCATGTTACTTTATTTTAAAAAAAAATCTATGATCTCTTTCACAAAATGCTAAATACATAGGAAAACAAATATCTTTATAAAAAATTTTATGAGAAAATTTTTTCTCAAATATTATGTAAAAGATAATACAATCTGAATACATAATGACTCTAGATCTTTCTGAAATATAAACATCACTTTAAAATTAAGCTAAGGAAGATATTTGGATTTAAAATATATTAAATCTGAAAATTAATTTGGATCTTATAAAAATGTGTTTAAATATAACTAGTAATGTCAGAGAATATAATAAACAGCTGCTATATTCATGTTATTTTTTCCATCTATTTGATAAACATTGGAAATAACAAAATGGTAATGCTACAAGAGATTAAGCAATATTATAAAAGTATTCAGATATGTAGCCTATATGTTCAAAGGGCTTATCCTATAAGATATTGTAAACTGTCTGTGTCTACCTTTTATTATTGAGTTAGTTATGGTTACAAATGTACTTAAATAAGCTATACTCAGACTACGCTTAAATACATACATGCATTAGCTTGCAATCTAACATTTAGACTGTGGAAGTCACTTGCTCAAGGTTGAGGTAAAATGGTAAAATCTAGTAAATAAAATCTAAAGAACAATAAACAAAATTAGGGAATATTAATTTGGGGGAGAAGAGAGGAGGAAATATGATTGGGGAAAGTAAACAGAAAGCTTCAATTATACTTATATTTTCTACTGAATAAAATGTTCAGTGGTGAACTCTAAATTATACCTGTTCATTTTATTATTATGCTTCATAAATTAGATACATGTGCCAATATCATTTTTGTGTCAAATATTATATAAAAGAAAATCCTCCCAACATAAAAAGCAAATTCATGACATTTACCTCAATAATGTGACAAACTAGATGAATTATATTTTGCTTCTATTTTCTAAAACTGGTAGGAAGTAAGGAATTAGTAGAAAATTTAAAAAATTCCTGTGGCTCAGTACTTAAAGTCTCCATGCTATTAAGCTATCAGCAGCCACTGTAGCAAGAGTTCCACCCTAGCCAGGGAGTTGACCCACATGGCACAGCAGAACTCTCTTGTCTCACCCACTGCTCCCCTCAGCAATTTATTTCAGTAGGTCTGCCTGGTCTGTTCCCCCACTCTGTCTCTGGTGAATGTTCTCACCACTCACATCTCTGGCCTACACCCCAGTTCTTATATGCATAAATAAATAAAATAAATCTTATTTTTAAAAAAGAAAATTTTAAAAATTCCTTAGTAGAGATTGGGAATTATAAAGGTGACTGGAGTGTGTGTGTGTGTGTGTGTGTGTGTGTGTGTGTGTGTGTGTGTGTGTGTGTGTAGGTAAGTGCATGCATACAGCGGTGGGGGAATGATGTTACTATGAATCTAAGGGAGAGTGGAGCTCTATCAGCAGGGCTAAATGCAGAAATTTTAAATGCAATTTGTAAACAAACTATCATTGTTAAATCAAGATGATATAAAAATCAATGAGATCTGCAAAATAATTCCTCACTGGAATCAGTGTAATAAAGTAGTTTGAATGACTAAAATTTAATAACTACATTCTGAATTGTGCCCTAAATTATTATTTAATTTATTATTATTATTATTATTACTAAGTACGGAAAAATAAAGTCCTGCTTCGCTGGAGCAAAGGACAGGACTAGGTTAGTAGACAGTAAATATTGTTATTTTGCTTCAATCTAAACATTATTAGTATAAATGATTTCTTCTTTTTATTAAATTTCCTTGAAAGGGAAAATTCTACAACCTTGACACTAAGTCAGATGGCAATTCAACTGTTTTTTATTTGGGTAAAAGTCTTCAGTCCAGAAGCACTGGACCTAAATGGTCAACCAGACCCAAATGGCAACCAGAGACCTGAATTTTAATCTGAGCTCTACAACTTGCTAATTGTTACATCTTAATAAAAAGTGAATGATAAGGGTAGGGGGTGGAAATGTTCTCCTGAAGGCAATTTAACATAGTTTATATTAAAAGCATTTTCCAGCAGGAAATTGGAAAAGAGGAAGAATACTGCCTTCTAACTGTGGCTATTTATATATTGTTTTCTATAAAAAATATTCACAGCAGTATTTTTTAATTCTTTATCTCTTAGAATAAGATCTTCACAGATCATGTGAATTTCTGAACCTGTTTTAAAGTCAGAACCTGCAAACTAAAACAAAGCTATTTCTGTAGAAGTCTGGCATTCAACACCAGTGAATTCTGCGCCAGCTGGGTTAATGTATATGTGAAGATACTAACTCCAGGGCTATGCTAGGGCCCTTCTGCACTGTCTAGATTCTGACTCAGCAGTCACTGAGGAAAACTCTACAGCATGGCTGGCGACTTGCCAACACTTGCACAGCCCAATGTCAGAGTCTGAATTCTTTCACACTGACATTTATAAAGATGTTGAAGTAATAATGTATTCCTGACCATTTGTACACTTGTGAAAAACTACCAGCACTGTTCAGTTTAGATTAGACTTCTAAACAGCATTTTGGTACGATATTACCAGAAGTGATTTATACAGCCTGACTTTGATTTAACTAATTAGTTACTTCTAAATCCTAAGGAATATGCTTCTGCAAGTCTTCAGATACCCTTCCCATACTTTCTTTCATAAACTATCAATTGGCAGTATCCTTCTTTTACTAACAATTATGATGATTTTAGGAAAGTTGTTTAATGTCTCCAAGACTCCATTTTTTAGGATGTAAAGTCGGAATACTTACATCAAACAAAGTCATTACAATTTAAAAAAATCCTATCACATTGTAGTTATTAACTAGAGGTACATTTAATCAGAATCCCATATCTATATAGGTACTTTTCACACTGATTGCCAATTCATTACTCCTCAAATTAAGAATGCTGAAAGGCTGCTCACTGGTAGGAAAAGTCAAAATTACTTAACTTTACAGACTAGCACAACTAGCTAGCTACAGATGCTTTTTCCTCACTTCATCATCCACCTCCCTTTCTCAGCATATAAATTCGTTATTCTATTCTTAGAAAATGTTCTCCAAAGCAGCCAGTCTTTCAAAGCTTAATGCTTTTACACATACTAATCCTGTCTAGTATGCCACCACCAACCTGCCACTTTTCTATCTGATAAACTCTCACTTAAACTTCACAGCCAAATTCAAATATTATCTCTGCCTGAGTGTTCCCCCACTCCCTAAATCTCCTTGATCTTTCCTTTCTTTTTGCTACAAAAGCACTTTCACTTACCTATAATGTTGCACTTTCTTTCTTTACATTTTTTTTTTCTCCTAGCAGAACATATTAACTCAGTAACTCCAAGCTAGCATTACTATCCTTTCACGTGGCCAGAACCAAGTCCTTTCATGGTTGCGTCCCTCAGCATACTGCCAGGAGACAAGCCCATAATAAATAAAGCTCAAAAAGAGTCTAAGGAAATTAAGGTGGTTCTGACAGGAGTAATAATCATATACAGCAGAAAAGAAAAGCTACAAAGTGAATCCTCTTTGATTGCTACACCTTTAACTCTCACCAAAGGGCCCGGTGTCTTTACTATTGTTAAAAAGCGTTGACTCTAGTCCAGTGCTTAGCATATCCTGAAAACAGACTTCCTCCGAAAGTTAAATATGTCCTACTTCAATTCTTGGTGAACAATAACTAACCATTAGCATCTATAGCTATATAATCTCTTACCTTAGGGTTTAACCTTTACTTTGATCTCTTTACCTTAGGGTTTAACCAAGAAAAGTTTCAGACTAAGATTTTAATGATCATAATTACCTACCTATCATTATTACCTGCTTATCCATAAGCATCCCTACACACACAGCTAATTAAATAGACATTTGTTCTGTAAGTGTATGTATGTTTACCTATATAATTTGCATGTGTCTTAGAATTAGCTAAAAGAAATATATCAGATTTAAAGAGAAGTTATTGATTCCTGCCTGTTTTCCTTACATTTATAGAAAAACAAAGAAATAAAAATGTTTGAAAAGTTTTGAAATGTTAAGAATATGACACAAGGCTTCCCCTTCCTTGATAAGGAGCCAAGATGGTGTCAGTGGAGTAGGAAATAGGTAGATGAGTAATTCTTAGAAATGTGACAGAATAACTGAGGAATTGATCATTTACAGCTATTGACTGAGCAATTAGTGTTTGTAAGGAAGCACAGTGGGGGAAATTACTGTGGATAAAATCAGAATCCTTGTACTTCACACACAAACTGTCTTGAGGTTCAGATAGAGTTGATAAGGCAATCATACAGTGATGAATGATTACAAATGAGATGGATGAGATGAAGGAAAGGAACAGGATCTAGGAATACCTATAGGAAAAAAATCTGGCCTAGATTGTTGGGGAGATGTGGGAAGTGAGGGGAGAGAAAGAACACATTCCTTAAGAAGCAGCCTTTGAGTTGACATCTGGAAATAAGGGGAAAGTGTGGTGGGGTTTGTCCCCAGTCAAAGGTAATTATGAGAAAGAACTTCCAGGAACTGAAAGAATGTCACTACCGATGAAGGCCAGAGAAGTCTTGCAAGCAACTCAGTGTAATTATGACAGGTTGAGAAGGAAATCAGCATGATGCTTAAGAAAAGACAAAACTATTGTAAGATCTGATAAAAAATATTAGCTTAAGCTATGGTAATGGCAGTAGAAATCCAGAAGACCAGACTATATGTTAATGAACTGGAAAAGGGTGTTAAGGAAAGGAGAAGTAGGACACTGTTAGGTTTTCTGACTGTGCAATGGAAAGAAACAATGCAAGAGGCACTATCTGGGAAAATATGGCAAAGAGGATGTGGTGCCATTTCACTATGTGGCCCAAACATGCCGTGTTTGTGATGTCTTTAAGAGATCCAAGTAGAAGTGTTTATCAGGCAATTAAACATGTGGGTATGAAATTCAAAGGAGTGTCTAGTCCACAAAAAGCCTATGATTGAATGGTGAGGACCCCATGCTGATGGAAGACTGGCTGGAGGGGGGGAAGGAGGCTTGGATTTCTCCTATTCTCTGAACTAAATATCTAGCATAAATGTTCGAAATCTATAGGCTGCCTCTAGCTCTAATACTGAGAGAATCTTCATTTCTACTTCAACTAAATTAAAAAAAAATGTTCATGATGTTCCAAACTTGAGCTCTGAATATGTTTTTCAAAAAAATATGTTATTTTGGTTACTGAACCAGTACTGTATTTTGTATCTGTCGGGAGGAAAACATGTGTGTGGGGGGTGTAAAGGGAGAAGGAAAAGAGATATCAGGTGGGGGCCACTGTAAACCATATGAAGTTTGTGAATATAAATGGAATATCGTCATCTATAAGCTTGAGAATACCATTATTATTATTATTTCTGAATATTATTATTTCTGAATCATGATGTTAAAATCACATGCAATACATGAAAGAGCTCAGTTCAGCAACTTAATCAAGATAATCTTATGAACCTGTGCTTCTAATTCAGTGAATATAGCTACTATGCAGAAATTTTATATGGATTAGAAATTTGTGATGATGACGTACAGTATTTAATACACAAAAATTACCATGACTATTAATTTTAAAATATTTTAAAATAAAATTTTACCTCATTGTAGCTTAAATACAAGTGCATGTAATGCTCCATTATAAGGAAGTATACAAAAATAAATGAAAGCATAGCAAAGTTATTCTCCTCTGGGTACACCTTTCATATTTTGCCTGTTGTAAATTATCAAGTATAGTCAAAAAAAATTAATAACTCTATACTGCCCTCTAGTGGTACACAAAGAACATAGTTCATTATAGGATTTTGCTTTTTAAAGCCCTTTCAAAGACAGATATCTAAGAAATCCAGCAAGAGAAAACATGTAGTGTGGACATAATTCCTCAGTCTTCTATCAGTGAGCCATGGAAAGGAGTCACTCAGCCCCACCACTACCAACTTACTACTTGAACTAAAATACCTCTTAGAAATCTAAAAGCACAAACTGATGCTTATCTTAAAAGCAAATGTCTATCACTTATTACAGCCCTTGGTCTATTTATTACACTTTATCAAGTGTAGTGTTAGAAAAACTTTAGCTATACTGAATATACAACATACATACTCTCACTGTCCCATACCTACACAACCCCTTAAACTGTTAAGACTAAAGTTTTGTAGTACTAACCATCTCAATTCTTACAAGAAAAAATTCATTTTCTGTGTGCTTAGATATGGCCTTATTTGGCTAATAATTTAAATTTATCAAAAATTTTTATCATTAAAATAGCCTTATTACTTGGTAAGGGGCTCTGGAAATGCTTCATTATTTCAATAAGACTGAAACAATTGAAATCACTTCTATCCTTTTGGAAGTTACTGATGAACTATATGCTGAATAGATAAACTGCTTGCTGTACAAGTGTTTAACATGGGTGGGGCTAAGCATGACACCATTTAACTAAAACAATTATAAGAATAGTAAGAAGAAATTTATTAAGGGGATCTTTTCTCATGTTATGTAGCTTGATACAAAATGCATTACTAAATCCTTTATATCTTACCTATCCAAAAATGGAAGCAATTTTCAACAAAAGTATAGAGTCATTGGTGAAACAAAAATAGCAATTTAATCCATGAGAAATGAAAATTCAAATATAGCAACCATTTCATTAAATAAAATTTTGGTTAGTATTGAGTTTCAACTTTGGGTGTGAACTACTTAGAAAGCTTAAGGTTCCCCTGATAGTCAGTCAGTGGGCATTTCTTTCTGATTTCTGGTTCATAACACATTTTTGTTCTAAATGCAGCACTGACTTAACACCTGAATTCCAGAATCACTAAGATGGCAAATTCACACCAATAGAGGTTGAAAGGATCAAAGGGACATAGGGGATGGTGGTGGGGAAAAACAAAACAAAACAAAGAAGGAAATGGAAACAGCATGTGACAAAGGAGAATTATGAAAGAAATTTACTTGATAGCCTGTCTTCTATTGGGCACAGAAATGTTTATATAGCTTAACATGTTTCCTTTTTCCTTCTATCAACAAGTATAGAGTATGTACTCTGCTATAGTACATATACATGCTAGTCACACTTTCAATCAACCTCAGGCTGCTTAACATGTACAATAAAAAAAAGAATAGATTCTATTCATTGAGTTTTTGTTGGTTTTGCTTTGCATTTAAAAGGTTCTAAATGAATATAGTTCACATTTAGGCTATCTAACTTAAATGTCAGGGCAGTGAATAGGTAACATATCTTCAATTATGTCTTTCAACCAGACTTAGGGTAAGAGTTGAACACATTAAATGATGAAAATGTATAGCTTTTAATTAGAGCCTGAAATCTATTTTCATATATTTATTTCATATTCATTTGGTAAGTTAATGCTCTTTGAAGGGAAAGATCTAATTTCTTTTATATCTCTCACTAAGAAAAGGTCTCAGCTAACATTCAGTTAATAGTAAAAATTTATGATGAAGTAGGAAAATAAATCTTATCACTAGAAGTTTTGGTTTTTTGGGTGAAGGGTTATTTTTGTTTTCGTCTTACCTTGTAACAGTCTCCTCCAGGAACAATTTCTTGAATATATACCAGGGGACCTTCATTCCTGTTAATTCCTCCCAGGATCTTCAGACCAAGGCCTGTTTCCTTAGTAACTGTAATCATCTGAAATGTAGGATCCCTAAAATAAATTAGCATGCCAAGGTTAGCCTAGAGATCTGTATCTACCTTTTCTTTGAACTACTTGTTTAATTAAATGCTTAGAAGCAGACAACTCAAAATACTCAGTTCATACTGTCATCAACTACATTTCAAAAAGTATGGTGATTCAAAGCAGTCAAATGAATTTTTTTACCTTTATTTGTTATTTTTCTATAAAACTAAAACAAAAGAATTTAAGGTTTTATATAAAGTTATGTTTTAGGAGTAGAACAAAGAAAAAGTATTTTAAGAATCTCTTTAAATATATCTAAAGATTTATTAAAGGTGATGGAAAAGATTTGCTTTAGCTTATTTTTAAATTACACAGAATGATTCCCAAACTAGTATTTAATGAATTAGGTGTGCATGTAAAAGACATGTTTCTGTCCATTTAAAGCAAAATAAATATGAGCTCTATTTGAATCTAAAAACAAAGTTTTCATGCTTAATCAAAGAATATTTTAATTTAATGTAGAAAGAGTATTTTCCTGGTACAAAGCATTTGCTCTGGCTGTAATTTCTACCAGACAAAAGAAATAAAAGGTCAACAGAATTCTGCAAACAGTACACCATCTCAAGTTGCATTTATGACTGATCTGGTCAGGGTAGAAGTGATAAAAGAGAACTTAAATCAAGTTTGAAATAAAGTTTAGGAAGCTCTGCTTACTTAAGACGTACTAGGTACCATGCTAGGTAATATACATACATTATTCAATTTAATACTTGTAAAATCTGTGATACCATTCATCACCCTCATTTTCCTCTCAAAAAAAAAAAAACCAAACCTGAAAAGGTTATAAAGAACAATAAGAAAATCTGCCTTATTCCAGAAGTGAAATGTGATCTGAGATTTGCTTTTCAAACAGATTAGAGCTGTTGTTGAATACAGGTCAAATAGCTATTTTCAAACACGTCAAACAGCTAAAGGTGCTATTTTAAAAAGTTGTCTCATATCGACATATAATTGTAGATTTCAGGAAAAGCTTTCTCAGTTTTGCCATAAAATTCTAACTATATCTTAAAGAAACTACTATTCAAAAGTTAAATCATTTAATAAAAAGAATGAAGAAAATTAAATTTAAAAAATCCTTATAAAATATCCTGATTTTTAATACTTTGTTTCCTATATAGAAGGCCTTTAGGTTTGAATTATATCGGTTTTACTTCTAGTGACAGAAGGCCTATCTTGTTACTACTAGTGTAAGGGTCAATTAGCAAGGGAAAGAAATGCAGAAAAGACAGTAAACATTTCACTGTCATGGATTCAGAATATCAACCCATTCTTGATAGGCTGTCAGACTCTAAGTCCATATAAGAATGAAGCCTAGATATGTGACAGATGAAGGGAAGGGAACACTAATTAGCAATTCTTTTCAGTAACCTCTTAATCTCTCTAAATGTGAGTTTCCTTCAATACCGACAGACATAATCTCCATTATTGTGGATTCTTCTTTTACTAATCCAGAGTAAGTCTTATTAACATAGCTGTGTATTTACTTACTAGGATCTTATTTTAAAATTTCCTTGCTGTTAAGAACTTATATGAACCAATTACTTAACTTCTGGGTATTTATTTAAAGAATACAAAAACACTAATTTGTGCTTACTGATTTATGTTTACCACAGCACTATTTACAATAACACCTGAGAGCCACAGATAGAGAATAGAGAAAGAAGACATGGAATATGTACATAATGGAATACTTCTCAATAATAAAAAAGAACAAAATCTTGCAATGTGACAACATGGATGGACATTGAGTATATTACACTAAGTAAAATAAGTTGGTTGAAGAAAGACAAATACCACACGATTTTACTCATCTGAGGAATATGAAAACAAAAACAAACAAGACAAATTCACAGGGAACAGATTGGTGATTATTAGAGGGGAAGAGAATTAGGTAAAAAGTGTAAAAGGGTCAGTTACATGGGGATGGATGTAAACTAGATTTTTAGTAGTGTATACGTTGTACTATATACAGATGTCAAACAATAAAGTTATTTACTTGAAACTTACTTATACAATGTTTAAAACCATGCTATCTCAACTTAAAAACAATAATTTACATTAACACCTAAATCTTGCCACTCAAAATAATTGCTCAACTATAAAGAGAACTAAAGATTGGCAGAAATACCATTATTCACCTATCAGATCAACATAAATTTAAAACTTGGACAATATATTCTGATGATAAGGCTATAGGAAAAGAGGTACTTTTGTATGTTGTTGGTGGGAATGCAAATAGTATAACCTCTAAAAAGGGCATATGGTAATCTCTAAACTTAGTCCCTGATTCCAGCAATTCCATTTCTAGGAATCTATCCCCAACGTATTCAGACAAAAAATATGCAATGATTTGTATGCTAAGTTATTCACTTTGGCACAATCAGTATTTACCAAAAATCTCAAAACAATTCAAATGTCCATCAAAAAGACTGACTGAATAAGCTATAGTACATACACGTTAGCATACTACACTATGCAGTTATAGCAAGGTAAAAGGAAGATCTTTATACCATTATGGAATAAGTCGAAGTTGGCCTAGGGATTGAGACTCAGCACTACCACTAAAATAACCTGAGTTTGATCCCCACCAGGGAGCTGACCACATGACCAAGCAAGATCTCTCCTGTCTTATTTGCTGATCCCTTCAGCAGTGTATTTCAGTAGATCTGCTGTCTCTGGTTGAATCTTCTCCACCGGACAGCACTCCCCACCCCCTCTGTGCTTCCCTGCACCTCTGGCTTACACCTCAGCTATCGTATGCATAGATAATTAACCTTTAAAAGAAAAAAAAAATGGTTAAGAAAGTATATATAACATTATTCCTTGCTTTGTGAAGAAAGTGGAGCCTGCGTCTTTAGCAACAGCTTTCCTCAGATGTATGTATAATTCCCATGGAGTTGATTTTGCTTTAAGTGGCTGGAAAAAACATTTCTGCTGCCCCTGAGAGTAAAGCTATCCAGCCCCAAGGCACAGAGTTCTGTGTACATACACACAGCTGGATCTGGCTGTGGCTCTTAGAGACAGATGCTTTCCAGTTCTCCCAGGAGCACAAGGCCCCAGGGAGGCACCCTGCATTTACTGGCCTGACCTCCTTCTCCAGGGAAGACCAGTGAACCTGAGCCCAAGCGGTTGCCGTAAACTTGTTTTCCATATAAACAAAGGTAGAAGAATATTTAATGTACAGAAGAAACTGGTACACAATACATAACTTTGAGAAAAATATGTAATTATTAGTGTTTACATATGTATATCTAAAATGCATGCATATTTATACATATGTACACATACACACACATATATATATATTTGCTTATAGAAAAAGCTCTAAAAAGGAGCAAAGAAAAAAAATTACTACCTACAAGACAAATGAAGGCAGAGTGAAAGAGAGGAGTGAAAGCAAGTCTGCTGAATAAAACATTTGTGAGCTACATATTTTCAAACGGTCACCCACCCCTGTTTTCATTGCCTTGAAATGTGACTTAAAAAGTAAGTCTGCATCTGTACCCCTTGAATTTGAACTTTGCTTTCTGTAATGCCTCTTATAACAGTACAAGCAAATGTGAGGGTAACAAATACATGAAAATATTTGTGCTTGTTACTGGGAACCATTCTGCCACCATGTGGAAAAGTTTGTGCTTGTTTCCTGGATGATGAGGCCAGCGCTGAAAAAGATCTCAGCCATCCAGGCTTCCCAGTGGAGGCCCCATAGCTGGTGAATGAGACTACCCTATGCAGTCTGGTGCAAACCTGAAGAACTGCTCAGCAACCCACAGAACCATGTGAAAGAAAAAAATGATTATTTAAGATAATCTGTGGTGGTTTATTACTTAACAAAAGCTAACCTTACTTTTATGTACTTTTTATACTGGAATTGTAAAACATTTTAGATATTCAAAAATATCAGATCAAATGTTTAAAAATCAATCTCAATCAGTAATTATAGAGAGTGTGGAATTTATCTCACACATTAATTTATATTGAGAGGTATTTTTCTGGAAAGGTAATTATTGATCAAATTTCTCATTATTTCTATTTAAGACCAGTACATAAAATTTTCAATGAAAAGTTCTTTTATGGACTATGTATTTCAAACCAGGAAAGTTCAGAACATAACTAAATTTCATTAAAAAATTACCTTTCAGAACTCTCCTGCACTGCTGGTGGGAATGCAAACTAGTACAACCACTATGGAAAACTGTCTGGAGGTTCCTCAAGCTGCTAAACATGGAGCTTCCCTACG